AATATATACTTCAATATTGTTTGAATACAACTCAAACCTAAAAATATTTAATAACAAACAGAAAGTATTTGTGAAAAACTTTTAATATAACATTTTTAATAAAAATAAAATTATTGGCTCAGAAAATTGACATTATATTTTATTTCAAAATACTGTTTGCCGTCATATCTTGTATTTTTACAGCATATAACATACAGTTAAGTTACATCTAGACTGGAAATAACAACTGTGAGAACTTAAAATCTTTTTATCCAAATTCTAATGTTTAGATAATTTATTTCTAGTAATTAAGAAATAAATAGGAAATGAATGTAGAAATTAATTTCTATTTGCAAATATCCAAAAGCTATTTGAATATTTTAATAAGACATTTGGTAAATACAAAATGTATTCAAATCAAGTCTTACGGATTTATGCAATAAAATTATAGCTATATTTAGCTAATTGTCAGTTTACTTTAAATTAAATATATTTGAATCATAATTATATTGATATAAACAGCACTTTATTTGAAATTCAAATACAAATATTTGTAAATTAATTTCAATGCAAATATTAGATCAATTAAGTCAAAGAAAAAATTCAATTCTCAAAGTCTGCAAAACATAATATATACTTCAATATTGTTTGAATACAACTCAAACCTAAAAATATTTAATAACAAACAGAAAGTATTTGTGAAAAACTTTTAATATAACATTTTTAATAAAAATAAAATTATTGGCTCAGAAAATCGACATTATATTTCATTTCAAGATATATTTGCCGCCATATCTTGTATTTTTATAGCATATAACATACAGTTAAGTTACATCTAGACTGGAAATAACAACTGTGAGAACTTAAAATCTTTTTATCCAAATTCTAATGTTTAGATAATTTATTTCTAGTCATTAAGAAATAAATAAGAAATGAATGTAGAAATTAATTTCTATTTGCAAATATCCAAAAGCTATTTGATTATTTTAATAAGACATTTGGTAAATACAAAATGTATTCAAATCAAGTCTTACGGATTTATGCAATAAAATTATAGCTATACTTTAGCTAATTGTCAGTTTACTTTAAATTAAATATATTTGAATTATAATTATATTGATATAAACAGCACTTTATTTGAAATTCAAATACAAATATTTGTAAATTAATTTCAATGCAAATATTAGATCAATTAAGTCAAAGAAAAAATTCAATTCTCAAAGTCTGCAAAACATTTCTTAATATTGAATTTCATTTATTTGTTGAAACATTTGCACTAATACTGTACTAATATCTTATTCTAACAAAACATATATTTTCATTAATTTTGCAATTTTTTATACAAACAAACATTAAAATTGTTAAATTTAATTTACAATTTATTTTTCTTTCTTCAAATAAACCTTAAAATATATTTGAGAGCAACTCTTCGATTGAAAACTCCATTTTTTATAATCATTTTAATTGATTTTCCATTCAATAAATATTTTGATAAAAATTATCCTTCTTTTAACATCAATTGATCACATCTTAAGAAAACAATTGATTTATTTTATTGATTCAACGTTATAAATGATACAGAATTGCTTTCGTCTCTCTCTCTCTCTCTCTCTCTCTCTCTCTCTCTCTCTCTCTCTCT